TCCCCGTGCCTGTCACATTCCCTCGGGGAAAGGCTGTCCTGTAGGGGAAACCGCCACCAGACTGAATGGGCGCTGCTTTTGATCGACGAGAAACCGAAGTGCGAAAACTCAAATGTTCATGCAAATCAGGCAACACAAATCAAGAGCGAGGCACCAGCTGCTGGGCGTGCAGGCGATGTTACATTGTCCTGCATACCCGAATCACCAAAGCTCTCGGCTCGCACTGCGTGTCTACCTCCTCTCTCCCCACGTAGCCTCCCTCCTGCTATTTCGGGGGTGCTCAGGGTCTCCCCATGCTGCCTCTGCCACCCCCGTTAAACCCCTGCTCTTCTGGTCTCTCCCAGTAGGGTGCCGGCCAGTCTCAGTGCTCAGGATACTCAAGTGGCCCTTTGGCCCGAGCAGGACTGCGACCGGGAGTGTGGTCCTGCCTCGATCCTGCGCACACCCTGCAAGTGTAGGTCCAGGCTGCCAGGAAGCCTTCCGTGAGCCCAGGTCCGGCAGCGTCCGCCCTCAGGAACCCCTCTGTCCGTAGGCAGGGAACTCACAGCTAGTCAACAGTGTGATGGGACGCGGAGGGAGTGTGGACCTCGACCCACTCCCGCATCTTCCGTGTGTCCACACAGCCAGCCCCCATTCTTCCCAGAATCACAGATCAAATGTCACAGGTGCCATCTTATCCCGCAGCCACAAAACACCCCCAGTCCCTCGCCCTGGGCCGTGTACTGAAGCTGCACGGAGGAGCCACTAGCCCGCGGGCTCCGCCATAGCACTGGGGCCTGGGCTGGGTTAGGACCTCCTGCAACCCCAGGCAAGAGAACAATCATCTTGTGAGACACACAAAGCCTTCTCCAGGTGCCTCGGGAGATTACGTATCTGGCTTGTGATCCAGGGCTCCTAAACCCTGTTTCTTCCCTTGCCTACAAAGACTTTTTCAATCTGTGGCCACTCCCTTCACTCTCCAGCAAGGCTAGCTGCACACTACTTCTCATGATAGGGAGGAAAAACAGAACCTTGTAAACAGAGGGCTATGCTGCTAAAAATGGGAAGCTTCCAGAAAACAGAGGGCAAAACCATGAGCCTGCTAGTTCGCGTACAAGCCGATGGCCATGGAACAATGCCCACCCCCTCCTCTACGAGCTGTTTGTAAGGCCCTGGCTCTGGACTGCAAGGCTGGTGTGGCTTCCAGGGTCGGAGCTGGTAGAATTGTTTGCAGCCGGCCCAGAGCTTGGGAACAGCTGAAAGCGATGGAGGCCTCCTCGCCAGCCCCTCCCACAGCCAGTGCCTCCCACAGCCCGCCCCGGGAGGAGAGCGTTCGTGGGGCTCTGCTGCCCTCATGGGGTGGCTGCTCCACGGTGTGGCGGCCTCTTCCCAGACTCCTTCCCCACCGGGCTTTCTCCTGGGCCCGTTGGCTCCCACAGCGGGCCCACTCCTTTATCAGACCCCGGTTCCAGTTCCGCTGTCTCCTCCAAAGCCGGCTGTCAGGATGTCAGGAGCAGCTGCTCTGTCTCAGAGGAAACAGGCTCTCTTGCTCCTGCCGGGACTCAGCCTGTCTGGGTTTTCTTCCACTCCACGTGCTCTGGGGTGCGGGGGGGCCGAGGGGGGGGGAAGGGGGGTGGAGGGGTGTAGAGCCCAAATGCCAGGAACCTGAAATCAGAGGTTTTGGTTTCAAGTTCATCTTGCCACTCACTAGCTGGAACCCTTGGGTACATTACTGCAGCCCTTTGAACTTAAATTCCCTTACTTTGGTTTTTTAAAGCATTATGGAATGTATTTTTTAAAACAGGTTAGCGGAGGATGCTCCCCGCTCCCCACACTCCGGGTTCCTTCCATGGTGACACTCCTCAGAGACATCCCATCGCAGATGGGTGACCTGTGTGATGTGGGGGTTGGGGTCGGGGGAGGAACTGGGCGAACCTACTCTGTCCTTCCTCTTTCTTTTTCAATCCTTCGGGCGCGGCTTACAAAGAGCACGTGACCTCTTCTGAAACTCTCGGGAGGGCGGAGCGCTGGCTGGGGCGTGGGGCAGGGGGGGACCAGCTTTGGTGCTGCTCGGTCCGCGTGGGTGCCTCGGGCTGAAGCCCACGTGTCCGTGGCGCCAGGACGCGCTGCCTTTTCCCGTGGGGACTAGGTTTATAATAAAGGTGACACCCGGCCCTCTGCCTGCCCAGTCCTCTCCCTCGTTTCTCAGTTGGCTCAGAATTCGGATGGGGAAGGCAGCACTGGGTGTCAGTCCCCTGAAGACGCCGGGCAGGTGAGGGAGGCACATTCACGGCACAGAAGGATTTTAAGTGAACGCCTGTGTCCTTGCACCCCGCCCCTCTGCCTCCCCTTTATCCAGCGGTTAGGGGCGGTCAATGAGGCCAGTTAACAGTGTTTCCTTCGGGAGACGTGCTGACTGTACCAGCTGCACACAAATATGGGTGTGCGTGCACCACACACACAGCCATTTTCTACTTGAATAAAAAATATGCAACCCTGGCCGGTGTGGCTCAGTGGGCTGAGCGCTGGCCTTCGGAGAGGTTACCCATTTGATTCCCAGTCAGGGCACATGCCTGGGTCACAGGCCAGGTCCCCAGTAGGGGGCGTGCAAGAGGCAACTGATCGATGTTTCTCTCCCTCTTTCTCCTTTCCCCTTCTCTAAAAATAAATAAATAAATAAACAAACAAATAAATAAATAAATAAAATATATTAAAAAAGAATATGCAGAATTTCGTTCCTTGGCATGCCCCTTTCATTCAACACCACCACTTGGAGAAATCTTTTTTCCCACAACCTAAGCAAAGAGCTGCCTCCTCTGCGTTTAATGGCTACCGTGTGCTCCATCAGCCAGTCCCTCCTCAATAGACATCGAGGGTTCCCCAAGTCAGCCACCATTTCAGAGAGTGGAGCATGATGGGTAAAAGTGCCAGCTCTGAGCCAGCTGAGCTGGTTCCACTCCCGGGCAAGTGACTTCACCCTCTCTGTGCCTCCAGTTCTGGGTCTGAATGACAAGAACAATAACCGTAACCCGGTTTTGTGAGGATTCCATGAATACACGCCAAACACTTAGAGACTGAGAGTATCACTAACCTCACTAAGTTTTAGCCAGTTTGATGAATGCTGTGATGAGAATTACGTGGTGCCGGGGAGGGAGGGCTGTTCCTCTTCCCTTCGACAGGAGACAGATTAACGGAGAAAATCAAGTTTGATTCTGTGCACACGGGAAGCCCACATGTGTGAGAGGGTCAGGGACCCCGCACACGGGAGCGGTTCGGAGGCGGGAAGGGGAGTGAGGGAGGGAGGACAGGACACCCTGAGTGAAGGGAAGAGGTAGGGAGCCGTGGGGCGCCAGCCGGGAGGGGCATCGTTTGCGGCACGATGGGAAGAGCGGAGGTCCAGTAACTGGATGTTCGCCCTGCCACAGAAATAGGTCACAGAAAGTTATGTCTGGTGATAACTCTCATTATGAGCAAGAGCTTTCATTTAAATTATTTAAGGAAGAGGTGAAAGTTTCTCAAGAACCTGCAGGATCTCGGTTGCCTTCAGCTCAAAATGCGCCCCATGCCGAAGGGGTGCACCTTGGGGACGTGGGCTCTGACCCCCTCCGCAGATGACTCGCCACGTGTTTAAGTAGGATGAATGCTTAGACGCAGACTTTCAGACGGTGTTAGCGATGGCCACAGCCCCTCCCGTGGCCATAGCACCAGCCGACTCCCCGACCTGGAACCCGCGTGTGCCTTGGCTCCCCACGACCTTGCCCCGTTTGTTAGCAGACACGGTGAGTTTTGCTAATCTCGTTGATGGAAACTCTGTAAGTGTAGCTCCCATCACTCGTTCTCTGATGACGGACTGATTAGCTGAGCATCTCTTCATATGCGTAAAGCCATTTGTTTCCTTTCCTGTGTGTCCCCAAACCTTCTCCTTTGTCCCCCTCTTTTTACTGAGTCAGCGAAGAGCTCTTACTACACTAAGAAAACCAGCCTTTGTCCATGAGATGCTTTGCAAATATTTTCTAAGCTTTTCCTTTGTGTCGTTTGCCTAGGAATGGCATTTCCTAAGCCAAGTTAACCAATCTTTTTTGGTTTCTGGGCTTCGTGTCATATATTCAAAAGGCATGCTTCATTCTGAGAGTACTTTTTAAAATTCTTTTGTATTTTCTTCTAGTACTTTAATGATTTTTTTTCAGTTAAAATTTTGACACAGCTGGAATTTATTTTTGTATAAGGAGTGAATGAGAAATAGGTCCAATTATATTTTCGTCTACATGGCTACCGGCTTGTCGCATACCATGTGTTGTATAAACCATTTCCCCCACATGATTTGATATGCAATTTCATCACACCTGAATTTCCTTACATGTTTTGGTCTATTTCTGGTCTTTTTATTCTATGCTATTGTTTTGCTTATTCATGTGCTACTAACATATCATTTCAATTAGTCTTCATATGCTTAATAAAAATAGGACTTTCAATGAACTGTTGGGGCCAGGTTTCCCATGTTACTTTAACCTGCTTACTTATTTTTATGAATTTTTCTGGATTTGCTTTTTTTGGTCATTGTTCACAGAGTAACTTTAGAGTAATCTTGCTGAGTAAAAAGTAATCTTATTGGCATTTTTACTGGGACCGTCTGTGGGATTATCCACTGGGACTTGGGGGATTAACAGCTTAATCTCCAGCTCCCGTCTAACGGTGCTCTGCACACCTCATGCTCCTGAAGGAGGTGAACGCCCGCATCCGATCGGGGCTTCAGCCGCAGGGACCTCGTGCGCGTGTGGGACCCTGGGACATGCAGAGGGCGCATGAGCGTTACGTCTCATTTATTCTGGCCCTAAGAGGTGTTTTCGGGTCTGAATGAATGTAGCCAGGCAGTGGTGGTAGAGGCTGGGACCTGTGCCTGGATCAGCCCTGAACTTAAGGACCATCACCTCTGCCAGTCCCCTCCGGCTGGGGACACCCTCTGGAGGTTTGGCCCCAGTATTTGGAGGTAACAGGGAGACATGATGAAGAGGAAGCCGACATTGCAGAAGGTTTGGTTTTATTTAAGAATAAAGGTTTATTTAAGAATTAAGGTTTAATTCTTGCCAGATTGTCCATTTGGCCGCCCCCCCCCCCACGCTGACCCATGACCCGGAGAGAACACTCTTGGTGCACGGAGTCTGTGCGGGGCACTTTGGAAGGGGCGAAGGGAGGCAGGCTTGGCCTCGGCGGGGGGCTCACGAGCTGTCAGTCCAAGTGGGGAGGCCGGCAATCTTTTCTCGGGCCAAGCAAAAGGCTGATCCGGGTCACAGAACTGCAGGCTGGGATGGCCAGGCCGCACCCAAACAGCCCCAGCTGCAGTTCCACCCAGACGGTGGTCCCGATGCCGAAGAAGGGAACGTGACATGTGGAGACGGAGCTGGTGCGAGAGGAACAGGACCCAAGCCTTCCTGGAAACTCAGGGTGAGCCTGTCACGCGGATCTGAGCGTAGACGACCGAGTTTGCGTTTGCTGGATGGTTTTCGCTGCAGTGGTCCCTCGTTTCCTCCAAGATTTTGAAATCCGTGTCAGCAGAGGTAAGTGCCTTGTCCGGGGTGGATGAAAACTACAGAGGAAGGGGGAGGACGATGAGCTAATTCACCTTGTCTCTTGGACTCCGAGGGCCTCTTCAGGAGCAACTTGAAAGCTTTGGTCAGAGAAGACCCAAAGAGAGCAGAAGAACCCCGCAAAGAAGCACTTGCCCAGCGCCCAGAAAAACATCCCTAGTCTAGTGGATAAGGCACAGCACAGAGGGAAAGTCCAATGGCTGCAGGTTTCCACGGTCACGGAAACAGCATGGTCATCTTACCTCGGCCAGAGAACCTGAGTGATCATCCAGAGCCTGGGGACTTGAGTGACCTGCCACAAGTGCCAGGAAGAAAAGGGGCAAATCTCACTGGTGGGGTCTGGAGGAACTGGAAGCCTCTCCCTTCAGTCCCGGGGGGGATGGGTGGGCTGGGAGGAGATGTAGGTGGGAAAGGTGGAGGGTCAGGAGGGCAGGTGAGAAATGGAGGGACTCCAGTCTGTGGTCTGCAGAGAAGGTGGGCTGAGCAGGTTTTACCCCCTCCTTTCTGCTTTCCACTCAAGGCTGACTCCACTCTCCATGGCAGAGACCAAAGCGCCGCCCCATCTCCCAGGAGCCACTTACATTTCCTGCAGCACTTGATGATAAGGAAGACAATCATCATCAACACTGATGCCAGTAGAATCCCAGCAAGAAAGGCTAAGGCCCACTGAACTTCTCTTCTGTCATGGCAAAGAAAGGGAGCAGAGGGTTTTCTGGGCCCCTGGAAGCCCGTTTCTGGAGACCCGAGTGTAACATTTCCCTTTTATGGGTAAACCTCTGAAACAGCTTTCACACTTGCTACTGGTTTTCACCTTTTTGGTTTCAGGTTTCAGATCTGTTTGAGGCCTCGACGAAAGCCACGGACTCTCTTTCCCCTCAAGAAATGTTCCTAGTTCTCAAACTATTCCACAAAATTGAAGTGGAGGAGAGGCTCCCAAACTCACTATATGAGGCCAGCAATATGAGGCATGGAAACCAGACAGAAACACTCCAAAACGAGAGAGAGAGAGAGAGAAATTATAGGCTGTGAACATAGATGTAAAAATCCTCAACAAAATACCTGTAAATGAATTCAGCAATACATTGAAAAGATTTTATACCATGATTGAGTGGGATTTGTTTCTGGGGTGCAAGGCTAGTTCGATATTCACAAATCAGTTGATGTGACCTACCACAGAACCAAATGAAAAAGTCATACGATTATATCAATAAATGCAGAAACGGCATTGGACAAAATCCAACATCTATTCATGATAAAAACTCTCAGCGAAGTGGGGATAGAGGAAACATATTTTAACGTCATAAAGGTCATCTATGACCAACCCACCGATGGCATCATCAATGGTGAAGAGCTACAAGCTTTTTATCTAAGAGCAGATACAACAATGTCCACTTTCACCACTTTTATATGACAGTACTGGAAGTCCTAGCCACAACAGTCAGTCAAGAAAAAGAAATAAAAGGCATCCAAATTGGAAAGGAAGAAGTAAAACTGTCATCATTTGCAGATGACTATATAGAGAAAACCCTAAAAAATCCACCAAAAATTATTAGAATAAATGAACTCAACAAATCTCAGGATACCAAATTAATATTCAGAAATTGGTTGCATTTTTATATACTACTAACAAACTATCAGAAAGAAAATTATGAAAATCCCATTTAAAATTGCATCAACAAGAATGAAATACCTAGGAATAAATTCAACCAAGGAGGCAAAAGACCTGTGCTCAAAAACTGTAAGACACTGAGGAAAGAAATTGAAAAAGAGAGTAATAAATGAAAGGCCATACTATACTCATGGATATGAAGAATTAACATTGTTAAAATATCCACACTACTCAAAGCAACCTACAGATTCAGAGCAATCCCTATCAAAATACCAGAACTAGAACAAATAATCTTAAAATTTCTATGGAACCACAAAAGACCCTAAATAGCCAAAGCCATCTTGAGAAAGAAGAACAGAGTTGGAGGTATCGCACTACCTGGTATTAAACTATACTTCAAAGTCATAGTAATGAAAAGAGCATGGAGCTAGCATAAAAACAGACATATAGATCAACAGAACAGAACAGGGAGCCCAGAAATAATCCCATGCCTATGTGTTAATTAATCTATGAGAAAGGAAACAAGAATATATAGTTGGGTAAAGACAGTTTCCTCAGTAAAGGATGTTTAGAAAACTGGACAGATACATGCAAAAGAATGACAATGGATTATTTTCTTATCCCATATACTAGAATAAACTCAAAATGGATTAAAGAGTTAAATGTAAGACTCAAAACCATAAAACTCCTAGATGAAAACATAGGCAGTAAACTCTTTGACATTGCTTTTAGTAGTATGTTTTTTGGATGTGTCTCCTCGAGCAAGGGAAACAAATAAAAAAATTAAACAAATTTAATTTAGTTTGGGACTACATCAAGCTAAAAAGTTTTTGCACAGAGAGAAAACCATTAAAAATACAACAATGAAAAGCCAACCTACTGAATGGGAGAAGATAGATTTGCTAACTATACATCTGATTAGAGGTCAATATCCAAAATATACAAGAAACTCATACAACTTAACACCAAGAAAAATGGACAGAGGACCTAAATGGACCTTTTCCCAAAGAGGACATACAGATGGTCAATAGACATATGAAAATAGGCTCAACATCAGGGAAATTCAAATTAAAATCACAATGAAATACCACCTTACACCTGTCAGAATGACTATCATCAGCAAATCCACAAATAAGTGTTGGTGAGGATGTGGAGAAAAGGGAACCCTCATGCACTGTTGGCAGAATGGTAAATTGGTGCAGCTACTAGGAAAAAGAGCATAAGGTTCCTCAAAAGCCTGAAAATGAAACTGCCTTATGACCCAGTTATTCTACTTTTGGGAAGTTACTTGAAGAAACTCAAAATACTAATTTGGAAAGACATATGCACCCTTATGATCATTGCAGCATTATTTACAGTAGTCAAGATATGAAAGCAACCTAAGTGTCTACCAACAGATCAATGGATACAGAAGATGTGGCATATCTACACCTCTGAGAGAACCTGGAAAGGAGAGGCAGTGGAGGGAGCAACTGTGATCTCAAAATAAGGGCAGTAACAATGAGAGAGAGGCAAGTTGTGGGCAGGTGTTTATATAACGGAATATTAGTCATTAAAAAAGAGTGAAATCTTGCCATTTGCAATAGCGTGAATGGATCTACAGGGTATTTCACTTATGCTAAGTGAAAAAAGTCAGAGAAAGAAAAATAGCATATGTTTTTACTTATATGTAGAATCCAAAAAAATAAAAAGTAAACAAAACAGAAACAAACTCGTAGAGACAGAGAATAAACTGACAATTGCCAAATGTGAGGGGAGTTGGCAGAATGAGTTGTAAGTTATATAAATGTCCAATCACTATGTCATTACACCTGAAATTAATATAATATGGTATGTCAGCTGTAATTTTAAAAAACGTTCATAGGTGGCCCCATACAGCAAATTTTATTTATAAATCTAGGAGATTCACAGATCTCTTGAGTCTTGGAGGTCCCTTGGTTAAGGAAAACACTACAAGGATAACAAATGATTTAGTTCTTCCACTCTTTCTGACCTCTCCTCCCCAGACGTCCTTCCCCAAGTCCCTACGGCCAAGCTGTCAACACAAAATCGAGCCCCACGTGGTACAAGATGAAATGGGTGTGAGAACGATCACTTACTTGAGGTAGCCGCAGGAACAGGGTGCTGCGGTAGTTGGGTTGGTGTGGACTATGAGAGAACACGAAGGGGGTTAGTGTGTCTGCCACTCTCTCTGCACCTTCCCAGCTTAAGTGTCCCAGGTGCCCACCCTCTCCAAGCACCCAGCGGAGATTAATGTAGGGGGCTAGAATTCAGCAAACGGAGAGAACATTGTTCCTTAGATCCTGCATCCTGTAACGTGGAAATTAGAACCAGAACTTAAAAAACCATCAGCCACACTAATGAAGGAAAAGCCTAGTGTTTCTATAGCTCCGTATGTCCCTTTGATAGACAAAAACCTCTCTGTCTCCCTCAAAGCTTTTAATAGGACTCCTAGGGACATAAGCTCCCTCGGCTCCAAGCAGAGAATCCATCTCCAGGCCAGGAAGTCAAGCACCAAAACGGAATTCCAGAACTAGTGTTGCCCAAGATCCTTGGCGATAGATCTGCCCTTGCTGCTTTCTTGGTTTGTTCACCTGTCTGCAGGGAAGGGGAAGGAGCGCAGTGACTTTTCCCAACACCTACACCACAGTGGGGTGGGTAGGAAGAACGCAAACTGCCTTTCCTCAAACTACCCCGCTGGTCTACTACCAAGCACAGAGACACCCTTTACTCAAAGTTGGAGGGTCCATTCTCTCTGGGCCCCTTTCCACTCTTCAGCACAGGGAAGCAAGGCTCTTCCAACTTCAGAAATGCTACGTCATTACGGCGCACTTCCCAGCCACGCCAGGTCCTCTGAACAAAGCGGCCAGGCAGGCAACGGGTTCTGTCCCGGACTTACTGTTGCATTCAGGTTGGGATGGACCTGCTCCCATGCTGTCTTCCCCTGAGAATGAAGAAGGTGCCTCTGAGAAAGCCTGGAGAGGAGAGGCAGCGCAGGGGTCAACTGCGATCTCAGTGTAGGAGCAGTACCAGGGAGAGGGAGGCAGGTCGTGGGCGGGGCGTGGTCCCGGCGTCAGTGGTCACGGGCTGTGGTGTGGTTGCCGCAGCTCAGCAGCCAGTCCTCCTCAGCTTTGCAGGCCTAGAAATTTGATCTTATCAGGGAACCCAGAACGGACAGATTACTCCAGAACTAGCTCCCACCGACCGACTCACAGCAGACGGAGGTAGGCTCTGAAATGACAGAAGGAACATGTTGGTGGGACAGGTAGCATTCTATCAGAACAGGTAAGAAAGCCAATGAAAACCACACGACTGAAATCAGGATGGGAGAAGACAAATGGATATTTTTAAATAATATTTTTAAAAAAGATTTTAGTTATTTATTTATTTTTAGAGGAGGGGAAGGAGAGAGGGAGAGAAACACCATTGTGTGGTTGCCTCTCGCTCGCCCCCTACTGGAGGTCCACAGGCCTGTGCTCAATCCATGGAGCTACACCAGCCAGGGCGGATATTTTTAACACCGGTTGTTATCTAGGTCTGAGGCATCTGCCTCCCTCTTCCCCGGCCAGACTGAGTGAACGTGGACAAACTTGCTGTTGGCGGTCCTTTGGCTCCATGAGACACTTCTGTTCGCACACTGCTTTTCAAGCATGTCAATATCCTGGTCTAGGCTATGGTTCTCAATCCCCTTCCCCCCCTCGCCCCCCCGCCCTGTGCTTTTACTTATATTTGTACCAAAAAGTACAAAGTCCTGAAAAGCAGAAAAGTAAAAGCACCCAAACTCCCACTGCCCCATGGTTAATATTTTAGAGTATTTCCTTTTAGTTGTACTTCCATGAATTTAAATTTTGTTTAATGTTTTATTTTTTTCAGTTTTATTGAGACATAATTGACACATCACATTGGTGTACACATGGAAGGTTTACAAATCAATGATTTGATATATGTATACATGGCAATGATCACCACAGTAAGTTAGCTGCAATTTCTTTCTTGTGATGAGAACGTTTAAGATCTATTTTCTTAGCAACTTTCAAATATGCAATACAGTCTTCACTGTACTCACCATGCTGGACACTAGGTCCCCAGGGCTTATTTCTCTTCCCACTGGAAGTGTGTACCGTTGACCCCCTTCCCACATGTCCCCACCGCCCCCGCCTCTGGCATCTGTTCTCTGGATCTACAAGTCTGATTTGTAAAGATCCCACACACATGAGAGTGTCTGCCACACATTTTGAAAAGACTAGTTGAAGTATTTCTTCACACATCCTTTTATTTATTTTTTAAAAGCTTTTTAAATACATATTTCTAACAAAGTTTTTCTTTCTTTTTTTTAAGATTTTATTTTTATTTTTTAAATGTATTTTCAGAGAGGGAAGGGAGGGAGAAAGAGAGAGAGAGAGAGAAACATCAGTGTGCGGTTGCTGGGGGCCATGGCCTGCAACCCAGGCATGTGTCCTGACTGGGAATTGAACCTGCGATGCTTTGGTTCACAGCCCGCAGTCAATCCACTGAGCTATGCCAGCCAGGGCTTTAGAAAGCTTTTTTAAAATATATTTTATTGATTATGGCATTACAGTTGTCTCATTTTTTTCTCCCCTTTATTCCCCTCTGCCCTGTACTCCCCCCTCCCACCATCATTCCCCCATTTTAGTTCATGTCCATGGGTTGTACATGTAAGTTCTTTGGTTTCTACATTTCCCATACTATTCCTATCCTTCCCCTGTCTATTTTCTACCTACCATCTATGCTACTTATTCTCTGTACCTTTTCCCCTCTCTCCCCCTCCCACTCCCCTGTTGATAACCTTCCATGTGATCTCCCTTCCTGTGGTTCTGTTCCTGTTCTAGTTGTTTGCTTAGTTAGTTTTTGTTTTTGGTGTAGTTGTTAATAATTGTGAGTTTGCTATCATTTTACTGTTTATATTTTTATCTTTTTCTTAGATAAATCCCTTTAACATTTCATATAATAAGGGCTTGGTGATGATAAACTCCTTTAACTTGACCTTATCTGGGAAGCACTTGATCTGCCCTTCCATTCTAAATGATAGCTTTGCTGGATAGAGCAATCTTGGATGTAGGTCCCTGCCTTTCATAACTTGGAATACTTCTTCCCAGACCCTTCTTGCCTGTAAGGCCTCTTTTGAGAAATCAGCTAACAGTCTTATAGGCACTACATTTTAGGTAACTGTCTCCTTTCCTCTTGCTGCTTTTAAGATTCTCTCCTTATCTTTAATCTTGGGTAATGTAATTATGATGTGCCTGGGCATGTTCCTCCTTGGGTCCAAGTTCTCTGGGACTCTCGGAGCTTCCTGGACTTCCTGGAAGTCTGTTTCCTTAGCCAGAATGGGGAAGTTCTCCTTTATTATTTGTTCAAATAAACTTTCCACTTGTTGCTCTTCCTCTTCTCCTTCTGGTACCCCTATAATGCTGATGTTGGAACATTTAAAGATGTCCTGGAGGTTCCTAAGCTTCTCATTTTTTGAATTCTTGTTTCTTCATTTTTTTTTTGGCTGGATGTTTCTTTCTTCCTTCTGGTCCACACCATTGATTTGAGTCCCAATTTCCTTCCCATCACTATTGGTTCCCTGTACATTTTCCTTTACTTCACTTAGCATAGCCTTCATTTTTTAATCTAATTTGCAACCAAATTCAACCAATTCTGTGAGCATCCTGATTACCAGTGTTTTGAAATGTGCATCTGATAAGTTGGCTATCTCTTCATCACTTAGTTTTATTTGTTCTGGAGCTTTGATCTGTTCTTTTGTTTGAGCCATTTTTTTTGTCTTGTTGCATCTGTTACATAGTGAGGGGCAAAGCCTTAGGTATTCACCGGGGCGAGGCAACCCATGTCTGCGTTGTGATGCTGTATGTGGGGGAGGGGTCTGAGAGGGAACAATGGCACTTGCTCCGCTCTCTGCCGGGTTTCAGTCACTTCCCCTGCCTCCCACCAGCAAATCGAGCCCTTCTGGTGCTAATTCCTGTGTGGATGGGTTTGTGTACTTTCCTGGGACCCAGTGGGTCTCTCCAACGAACTCTCCTGTGAGGCTGGGAGTCTCTCCTGCCACAGGTGTTTTCAATCGGTGTTTTGAGGCTTTATTTCCCCGAGCTGGGGCCCTGGGTTGCGCAGTTCATTCTGCTTCCCAGTTGTTCCTCCTGGTTTATCTGCATGAGAATGTGGGACTGCCTGCTCCTCCAGCCACCACCTTGCTGGGAGTCCTCTCCACCCAGCTGCCCTACTCCGCTCCTCCTACTGGTCTGGATGGACGTTTCTTCTTTAACTCCTTGGTTGTCAGACTTCCATACAGTTCAATTTTCTGGCAGTTCTGGTTGCTTTTTGTTTTTAAATTGTCATTGTTCTTCTTTTGGTTGTTCGAGGAGGCACAGTGTGTCTACCTGTGCCTCCATCTTGGCCGGAAGTTCTTAAAAAAAAGCTTTTTATCATAGGCATTCTCTCACTTCACAGAACATTTCCTAGAAGCATTTTTCGTGGTGACAGGTCTTTCCGCTACAGCTACGCACTACAGCTTGCTTACCCAGTTCCCTGCTTGTTCATAAACGTCTCCACTTGTGTTACTATTTATATTTCATTACTTTATAATAAAACAATTTTAGGAGGCCACACTTTTATCTCATATTTAAGTAAACCCATGGTAAGAATTTTTGGCTCTGCTATATCACTGTATTTTAGGGTAATGTATCTAGACAACGAATGACATCAGTTGTTTAATCGTCCAGCTCTCAAAAGGGAATCAATTCCCAAGTCCTTGCACGTGGGGGAGGGCTGGGAGCAGGACCTCACTGCCTTGGAGCAGCAGCAACAGCAGCTTCGTATCCAGCGACTTACCACTCGACCCGACTGTTTTAGATCACGCAGCGGGACGGTAAGAAAGGCACCAGCGGGGAAACGGTGCGAGAACCCTGAGCTAGGAGAACAGAAGGCCACCATGCGTAGTGGAATCAGCGGTGGCAATGGTTTTTCTAGCACTCTTTTGCTCCTTTTTTGCATTTAAAAATCAACAGTGCTCTATAAAGCACCATAAGATATTTATACACCATTTAAAATATGTTGAAATATGGGCTTGAGCCAAAGAAACACAGTATGAACTTGTCCTATGAACTTATACTAGACCCTACTACCCCTGGGGAGGTGGAAGAGAAGATCTTCAGAGGTTTCTGTAAAATCTGAACCTTCACCACAGTGGCTCTGAATTTGTAACTGTCCCAAAGAAATGTTACCACAGAAGCCTTAAAAAAAAGTCAGGCCACCCCAACCCGAAAGACAAAACCATTACCCAACACCACAGGGCAATAGCTACTTACAAATCCAGGCGGAGGAAAGAGGGAAACACATTGTCCTTGGAAAACAACACTCACGCACTTGGCAGAAGCAGACAATGAAACAGAAACAATGCTACGTACACTTTTTCACATGCTGTCCAGCACCGCAGGACCTTCCTGGTTGCGCTTAAATTCACCAACTCCGTGCGGGCGTTCAAACCCAATCCCCTTCCCACCAGATGAAGTTTAGAAGACAGAAAGTGATAGAAACTACTAACAATCAGGTGACATTTTCCTTCGGTGAATGATTATCTTGTCTAGATTAAAAGCATGGGGTAAATCCATTTACCTTTTCAGAAAACGTCCAGTCACGAGAAGCCACTGTGTAAAACTGAACTTGAAACTTGCTTCCGCAGCTACTCTTATTTTTCAAAAATGACTAAGTGACTACTGTCACTGTCGTGGCCTCATCAAGCTGTGTTGCAAATCAATGAAACTCGAGGGCGGACTTCCTCTTTGAGGACAACACTGTATTTTTTTAATCCCATAAGCAGAGAACTTCTTTCATATCTTTTGAAACATGAAAGTCAGAGCACAAGGGATCAGACAAATTTATTTTTAATCAAGTACATGTTGAGTATTTAACCACACGCCAGGTACTGGTGTTGGGGGCGGTGGTGAGCAGTGTGGGATGGTCATTGTCATCAAGCATCTTACAGTGTCATTTATTCTAACCACGGAGATGAGGTGAATAGAACAAACAGACAAACCGAGCAGCTGTGTGAAGAGTTAAGCGCTGCCCTGGCTGGTGGATCGATTGGTTGGAGCGATGTCAGGTACACCAAAAGGTTGTGAGTTCGATCCCCGGTCAGGGCCCATACCTAGGTTGTGGGTTCGACCCCCCATCGGGGTGTGTACGGGAGGCAACCAGTTCTCTCTCCCCACTTCCTC